CCTTCTCACCTTCTGGTGGTGCCTGTCAGGTTTGGAGGGAATGAGTATTTTTCTAGTGTCTACTATTAAATGAAGTGGGGTTGAAGGAGGAATTAATTTCCCTGTAAAAGAGAAGCTTTCATCAAATGAATTATAAGATTTTATTTCTCAAAATAAAAGAAAAAGAATTGGTTTTGTTCAAATGTTGAAGTGGTTTCAAATTCAGCTGCTGAAAAAATGGGAAGAGAAAGTGGGGCAGAGGGGCACAGAGAAAGAAAATTCTTCCGGGTGAATTTTTTGATGGAAGCAATCCTGCAGGAAAATTACAATTTTCAAAGGATATGCAATGGAGAAAACAATTCCCGTTCCCTCCTCCCAGCTATGTGGGAAGGCAGAGTACAGGGGAGCCAAGATCCTTCCTGTTCTTAAGCAGGATCCTACCAGGACAGGTTAGAGATTTTCATTATATGCTTTTGGCAACACCCCTGAGGAATTCCCCTAGTAGGGGATGGTGGACTCTAGCTAGAAGCCCAGTTATTTTCAATCACAAGAAAATGTTTCCTTTTACCTGGTTTAAAGACTTTCTCCTCCACTGCCACTATCACTCTTTCCAAGCCTATGCCAGAATTTAATTTCTGCTGTTTTCCCTACTTCAGCTGTCTCCAAAAGGGACTTGTGAAAGTCAGGAGTGGAGGTGGACACTAGCACTATTTTAGAAGGGACACACAGTCTTTCCAGCCTGTTCTGCTGGGCTCATGGCAGCACAGCACAAGCACTGGCAGGACACCCAAAGAGTGCAGAGGTGGAGGTGGGCATGAGGCTGCTGAGTGCCTGCTGTGCCCTGAGGGAGATTTGCTGCAGGGCTGCACAGGACACTGCTCAAGGGGGAAGCAAAGCAGCTTGGTGGAGACCACCTCCCTCTGGAAGCTCATCTCTCCTGCTGCAGCTGCTGCTGACCAGCTCTTTGGAGAAGGCTGCATCATTTTACTTTCCAGATGCAGCTGGGCCAGCTCTCTCTATAGTCAGACACCCTTTTTGACAAAAAAATACAACGTTTTACAAGTTGCTTCACAAGACTTTTATTCTGAATTTGGCTTTATCCTAAATGGTCAGTGTCTCCCCAAAACACAGGCCAGCTTTTCTGTGTGCTTCAGCTGTTGTGTTTCCCTTTGCCCACCAGGCTCCAGTGCCCTGGGGACAGAGCTGCTTGTTACTCCATGAGATGGCTGAAGTGTGCACAGCAGACCAGGATACCCTGGAGCAGGTCTGGATGCTACTGTAGCACAAACAGCAGCACTAATGCTCATAGAAAGCACTACTGTGTTTATGCAAACTGTTTATGTTTATGCAGTCCATCCTAGTGAGACGCTCTTCAGCTCCAGACAATCTTGGCATTTCGGAGGGATATATCAACATTCCCTCTGACACAGCTCTCTTGTCAGAGCAGTAAACAGCAGGAAGTTCTCATTCCTTTCCAAGGTGATGGGCTGTATGGTGGCAGAATCTCTGCAATCCTACCTCTCAGCACTCCTAGGAGGACAGCCAGTTTACAAATCTTAGACAACTCACTCTGCAGCAAGTGAAGTGTTTTAGATAAAACACCATGTACCATCTTGTGCCAGAATAGATTTCACTTTCAGTCAAGTAAAACTTACTTGTAGACTTTGCCTCTTCCTTTATTTTGATTTTGTGTTGCTATGCCTAGACACATTTTTTGGTGGTTAAAAGGGATTTGCAATCGTTCCATGGAACACCTGAGGGAGAACCATGGATCACTATTGATCTGCTGACTTCTGAAAAAGAAATGTGGCTTGAAAACCCTCTGCCAGCATCCATCAATTAATGCAATGGGGAAGACCCAGTATTTCAATTCCCTGAAGTCAGCATTATTGAGGCTTCTAGCATAATAAGGACATGAAGGAGTATTGGTTATGAGCTTGGTTTCAGAAGTAAGAATATTTCACTGAAGTAGCAACCACAGTAGTTGTAGGCCATAATTTCCCTAGATGCCAGAGAGAAACAGCATTTCTGGACAGGTCACTGCACTACAATTACAAAATCTTCAATAGTATTTAATCTGTGGCTCTGTTTCCCAGGACAAGATGTTGTGTTTATCTCTGCCTCAGTTTCCTTGCCTGTGAAATAATGTAATCTGAAGCATACTGGAGAAAAGTGCTCTGCAATAGCTGAATATATTGTTAATAGTAACAAAACAAGCACTGCTAGTTTTAATGTATTTCTTCTTCAGACAGCACTGCATTTACATCAGCATGCTGGAAATTTCTACTAAAGAAGTATAGAAAGCTCAGATATCTATATGGCATGGGAAAAAAAAAGAAAAGAAAAAAGAAAAAAAAAAGAGAAAGTACCTTGAAAGAAACCAATAATGTTGGTGATCAGAGCAATACAGTTAGAAAATCATCAACCAAGCCCCTCCAGTGGTGGCACAGGCGCTCTCAGACTTGTCATATACAGATCACAGAGACATAAGACCAAAGTCCCAATAAACAAGGCAGGCTAGCTTACTTAAACAATTGCTTTGATAATTCAGATTTACAGAGAGAGCACATCCATGCTAAAATAATGCCCAAAAGGAGGCAGACAGAACACAGCCTGCCTCTGGAAGGGTTTGACTTACATGCTGCTGAGTTATTCATGGCATGTGAGCTGTGTGGAAGAGATCTTTTTGTTTTGTTTTGTTTTAATGCTGATGGGATAATCTTTTCTTTTGAAAACAGCCTCCTAATGCATCAGGACAGCTGCCTGGGATACACCTCATTTAGCGGCAATTGTCTCTGTAATGTTTATAACCCTCCCACTGCCATCCAATATACAGTCATCATTTATCCACTCATTTGACTAACACAATGTTAAAATGCCCTTCCAGTGCTTTGTTTTGCTTACTTCTCCATTCCCTTGCTGTCTTCTTGTCAGAGATGTTAAAACCTCTTTTGAGCAAGTGGCGTCTCTGCGTCAAGGATTTGTGAGTGAAGGATGCTCTCCCCACTCTGTACCCCGCAGTCTCTCCCTCCTGTTTAATTATAGCTGGGGGAGTGTGAGACACCATCTACCATTCCTTGTTCATTATATTCAACAGATGCACATTTTGGGCTCTTCAAAAACTGACCAGGCATATGGAGCATGTTAATCTGCTTGTGAAATCTGCCCTTATAAAATCAACAATACCATTGTCTCCTCAGATGAAATCTCAGGAAATGAGGGGGAAGACTCCCCCCCACCCCCCCCAAAGCATCTGAACTTTAAGGTCCCTAGTATCATTCCTAAGCCTTTCTTGTGCAGTAGTTTGTCACAGTCCAGATGTGAGCACTCCTTTGTAATAGCAACCACGCTATGTTTGAGCCCATCTGTGTGATGTGAGTCCTGTGGGGACAATCAGAAATTCATGCAGTGGTACAGAAAATCAGAAACCTCAGAAAGTTAAATCAAGCTTTCCAGACAACTTTTCACAAGATGATGATCTTGAAACAGAGTACAATCACATGCCTACTTTTTGTAGTGGCCGCAGCTGGCACGTGTGGCATTGATACCTGCTCCACAGAGGAGATCGAAGGATGCAGATTTTTCCCTTGTGTAAGTGGCTTGGGTATGCCAGAATGAACATGCTCCCAACCATGCTTGGCCTGATGGCAGAGAGGTCTCCTACACTAATGCTTCTTCTGAGTTTTAAATCCACGTTGCATCGTGGACAGCACAGATAATCTCAGCCACTAAAGAAAACAACATTTTTCTCAGGCACACAGCTGCAGTTCAGTAGAATGATGGGCAGAGCTCAGGTTGAATGATCCAGAACAAAATGTTTCATTTCTTCCTTAACTTTCTTTGGGATAAAACAGATGCACAGTCAGCTCAGTGATTTTGAGTGGTTCCTTTGGATTTAGCATTTACTTGAGCAATAACATTACTCTGGGGCATTAAGAGCACACAAGACTGAAGATATGAAATTTGTAGAGTGCATGGCAAGCATGAAAACTGGAATAAAAACTATGCTGGAAGTGGATTTATACTGTTTACCTCTCACTAATCATAGAAGTAGCTTGAATAGCTCCCTATTCTTCTGGCGTTGTTTTCAGTCTGTCAACTCTGCCATCTGACAAATGAAAACTCCACCTGTAAGTGTACCGCTGCTGATACTTGAAGCAGGTTCCTGAAAAACATGTGGCAGAACTGAAATCTGTGCATGTGAAGCTTTGGTCCTGAGAGAGTTCCTGGGGGAAAGAGAGGAGGAGTGTCCTGGAAATGTCATAAAGAGCTTTGATGAGAAGAGTGATCCTCCAAGAAAACAATACATGGTCTGAAGTTGTAAAATGCATGGTCATATTCCTTCCTGACAGATCCTAGGTTTACAAGGCACTAAGAACTGGTCCTTTATGACCAGTGTAGTTGTGAAAATCTATCTGTTCCAAAGGTGTTCCTACCACCGGGAAAAAAAAGAGAAAGAAAAATGACAAGGAAAATAATCCAAGGCTTGGGATGGTTTGTGACAGCTGTGTGTGGTTACTAATTACTCTGGTGTCAGCTGCTGCTGAGGAAGCTTTCATGTTCCATTCTTTGGTCAACAGCAAGAATTGTGGTGAGCTTTGGCTCTAGTGTTTGTATCCCTGAGCTGTTTAGTTTGTAAGGTGAAAACCAAAGCTTTCTCCTACTTTCTTCCAGCTAGTTTGACACTGTGTGGCTGTTGGCCATGCATTAATATTGCATAAGAAATCCACAGATCAAAGAAGTACCTGACCCAGAGGCCACAGAGAGTAAGAGCCAGAAGAGCAAGTGTGGTGTTCCCTCGATACCACCATCCACCCTGCAGCCTAGGGACCTCCTGAATCAGAGACTCTATCTGCATCTCTGTGCTGAACAGTCCTCAAGAGACCTATCATCCTCTCCAAATGCATCTAATTGCTTTCTGAATCCAGTTATATTTTCCTCCTTGGCATGTTCAAAAGCTTCATTTGTTACAGGCTAATGAGCTTAATAAGCTGAAGCTGTGTTTTTATTGAAAGGTTAATGATTGCAAACATTTAAATAGTTAAATCAACTCCTTAGCTGAGTGTGGGGTTACAGAGGATGGGAACAAACAAGCCTAACTCTTCTGGGAAGACTGCTAAGGAATTTTTGAGTTAGTGTGGATTTTATATGCTTGGGGTTGCTGGGGCTTACCCTTCTACTGAAATGTTCCAGCTCACACCATTTCTACTTTCCCTTCTGCTGTGCTGGGTTTAGGTCACATTAAATCCTGAACTGAGCCAATCTTTTCCCTGCAGCTTGTTTGTGTCTCAAGCTGCTTTTGTCTCGAGTTAGTTTTGTAGTTAACATCTGATGCTTCACATTATGTGACAGCTTTATCTCCATGAATCATCTTTAAATTTCTACAGTCTGTGATGTTGGTCAAACAATCCATTGACAGCAGCTTTGTTACTTCTAAAAGAGTGTTGTTTTCACTTCTTTGCTGACACTTGAGAAAAACTCTAGAAAGCTAGAATGAGGGATCTCTTATGTATTTGGTAACAATCAAATAGCTCTAAGTTTTTGGAATAGTTATATATAATTAATGGTAACATCACCTTGGGACAATTACAGGATTTCCCTCTTACAGGTGATTAAAAAAAAGTATGTGCTGTGTGTGTATGAGAAGAACATGAGAAGAGCATTTGTATGTTTTTCTCTCCAGGAATGCTGGCTTTGTGCTGTGCCCAAGTGACCAGAGGAGTGAAATGAAGACAAATGGCAGTAAAATAATTCCAGAGGTAATGTCACCGTAATACCTTCATTAGGAAGTGTTCCACTGCACTTTCTGCCTTTCCTTTTTGTCTGTGAGATCCCACTTCTTATTGAAATATTGGATATTCTGTCTCCCTGTCTTCCATTACTCAACTGTCCAACAAAAGCTGGTAAATGAAGGATTCTGCAGTCTGTAAGTTGCAGTATAATTTGGTCAGGCACTGTGGTTTATCAGTATAGAACTCTAATATCCAGCTGACTACAGGGATGGCCTATAAAGCCCACTTGGAAAGCATTCTGAACTCAACAGAGGCTCCTGTTGACTTAAAAGGGCCCTAGACCAGGCCTGAAATGAAATCTGTCTCAAATTGCCAGTTGACAAAGATCCAGAATGGTGGTTTTATTTGAAAGAAGCTGTGAAACAGAGAAGTAAAACAGGCAGGAGCAAAGCAATGGCAAAATAAAGATGATAATTTAGGCCCATAAATGGTAGAAAACTGGTAACCAGCAGAAAAGAGCGCTGGAGAAGCCTCTCAGAAGAACTAGCGAAGGGAGAATGCTAACTGGTTCCAGGATCAATATTGATAACATAATGAGACAGTTTCCAGAGTTCTCCCACTTGCAACAGCAGGAACCAGGCTTCTTTTCTCTGATCTCGCAACAACTCATTTGCTTTAACGCTTTTCTGTGTGGTTTCAAAGGTCTGGGATTTTTGCTCGTGTAAATTAGCCTAAAGGGAAAAACATTTTGTTTTAAAAAATCTTTTTCTTAGTCATCTGAACACTGGAAGAGGAATGGTGTTGGAATCTTTTCTCTGGCTTATCTTGTGCTCAGTGCTTGTCTCTGCTAATAGCATTTTCCAACCAAGTTTTGTTAATTTCAAGATGTGGAGGGAGAAAAGGACACTGTATAGCACACATTCTTGATTGTGAGCTGATAACCAGCTCTTCTCCAGTTTTGCTTTGGTTCTGTTTTGGTTTTTTTGCTAAGACTGATCAAGTCAGAGAAAGAGTGCCATATGTTAGAACCCACCCTATGAAAAAACCAGTAGATAAAATCCCCTTGAGAACAGGCCATGGGCAACTTCAGGGACATTCTCAGTGTCTATAAGCTATATAACTTATATAATATATGATGTTATTACTTATGTGGAAGACAGCTGTACTCTCATGATTTATTACCTGTGTTGAGAAAACAGAAATGTGGATTCCATAACCATGGCTTGCTTATGACAAAATGCTTGAGCCCGAAAGCCTCTGGTGCCTCTTCCATGGCTACCTGGGCTGCAAGGCTGAAAGCACAGCCCATTTCATTTGTCTGAAAGGAAGCTGCACATCCCAATGAACAAGCACTCCAGAAGAGGAACCATTTCCTCAGGAAAGCTGCAGAAGAATTTTGGCAAAGGACTGAATTTTGAGAATTCTGGGTAGCCACTGAAACCTAGGTTCTTTCACATAAGGCATTAGGGTGAACCCCTCTTTTAGAATCTAGATGAGTGGTCTTAAAACCTTTGAATTCTAAAGGGAGCACTTGAAGTATTACACTGATGGCCATGGTAAACAAGGGAAAAGAAATGGAGGAAAAAGGGGATGTTAGTCCTTAAAAGTATGGAAAGGCTAAAAGTGTAGCCTTTTTTCTCTAGTTAAGGAATAGAGTGGAGGTTGTCTAATTTTGCAAAGAAGAAAAGCCTGAAATCTCCTTAGAGGCAAGGCTGCCTTTTTAAAGCACACAGCAAGCTGATAGCCAAAGGCAACAGAAGAAACAGTGAAAGGGAACAGCAGAAAGCTGAGACTCAATGTGAACAGATACCTAAAAGTCAGGGAGCCTGAGGGTATGTGGTTTAACCAGACCACTGAGGATTTTTCCACTGTAGAGGCTCAGATGCCATATTAAATCAGCACACACAGCACCAAGCTCTGGCTATTGTCTTTAGGCACTTATTTTGCACTCTGCAAATTAAGATGACTAGCCTTAACCCTTTCCTGCTGTTGGCTGAGCTACATTAAAATGCAAATTCCTTTGCATTTTCTGCAGACACACCAGTAGCCATCACTGAAATGTGGCCATGTGGGCCATGAATCTCAGACATGTGATGGAGCCATCCATCACAGAATCCCATAATCACTTTGTTACTCCCCCTGGTTCTGGAGGAGTGCCTGGTGCCACATGGGGCTTAACAAACAGTCAGTGCTTCACAGGCTTGGAAGACACTCATTTTACTGCAGGTCCAATTGACTGTGCCTGGCTGCAGGAAAACAACCCAGGGTTTCTCTGTCTGTGGAAGTCAGCCCTTAATAGAACAGTTCCCACTATTACTGGGAGCAGCAAATTTGACGTACATGTGGTTTGGCAAGATTTCATCTTGAATAAATGAGTGTGGGATTTGCTTTAGCACCTGCTGCTCTTTTTACAGTGCCAATTTATACCTCAGTAGGAATGTTTCCATATAATGCCGTTTTTTAAGGAAGTAGTCTAATTTTACAGTGCTTATCTGTCTACTATTCAAGTCATGTAAATGTTGTGGATGTTAGTCCACTCAAATTTATACCTTTCATTATTCTGGTATGCAAGTACTTTGTGACCACAGTTTTATTTCCTTTACTAACATCCCTATCCACAGCATTACCTGAAGGTTTAAAACCAAAGCAAACTATACAAAACCCCATTGAACAATTTTTATTTTTTTTAATTTCCCTGTATATCCCTGAGAGCTCATTTAGCTGGGGTTATTTTAAGACTATTTAAAGACATACATGTATTTGGAATATTCTTCCTGAAAAGGTCTAACATAATTAAAAAGTAATTATGTAAATGCAGGTGTTGAGCTTCTCTCTTACCCCATGTTATAGTCTGTAAATTGTTTGAAACCATCAATTTCAGTCCTTAGAACTGGAAAGTCTTGACTGAATTGTAGCCCAGTTTGTTTAATGGAGGTGATACACAAAATTATGCTTCCTGGGACTGGAATTTAAAAGTGAATCAAAGGCTCTAGAGAACCTCAATTCCTGTAGATGTTCAAGACACAGAGGATGTTGCTGAATCCAGCAGGAGCTGATTTGATGTCTATGCAGGGAGAAGTCAAGGAAATGGAAACAACTTATTGTTTCTTTTTCTGATTGATGGGATTAATATGCCATATCTTAGGGATCTTATCCACCATATTCCTGTTTATATTTTATTCTTAGGGTGTATTTCCTGTGTTTTGACAAAATCATGTCAGTATTTAAGAAACTACAGACTTGAACCTGCAGTTTTGTCTGGGACTGTCCCATGGGCAAAGGACTTGTTTCTCATTCAGTTTTCCAGCATGTGTGACTGCTATTTAGTGATGGCTATTAGTTTTCCTTATTTTTTCCTTGCAAAAAAGTAAGGAAATTGGAATTGTGCCATGTTCCCACAAACATTTTCTAGTTACCTTCAGCACAAACCAGCAGCTGGAGCTCAACAGCAGCTCTGAGAGGTGGCTCACAGTGTAGTGGAGTTGGAACCAAAGACCTTAATTTGTCCTGCCTCTCTTTAGTGTCTAACTTGGGTGTTTCAATCCTTCAGGTGCCAGGAGGCACCTCAAAGGACTGTGAGAAATTGGCCATGCCTTGCAAGACATTCTAGAAGGGCATCTCTTTCTCTCATAGTCAAGAGAAGAGGGATATGGGATGAAATTGGTTTCCAGTGCAGGAGATAAAGTATCTTGTGGAAGCATCTGGAGTCCTATGGATTGAACATCAGCTGTGGTCAACAGCTGGAATGGTTTGGAAGCTTGCACTTCAGAATGTTGGGAAGGTGAGAGAAGAGCTGGACACTCACATCACACCAGACTCTAGAACAGGTTATCACAGTCATAACTGATACAAAACCAGGCCCAGAAAACAATCCTGCCAAAATTCACCAATAATCACATTTTTAAGCGATTGCCTTGGTTATAGCTGGAGAACTCCTACTATAAAATGATTTTTTTTTTGAGGGTTATTTGCAATCTTTGACAGGCTCCTGCAGATAATGCTCTGAGTAGCAAGACTTACAGCAACAGAATTAAATAAATATGAATGAAGAATCATAGTAAATTTGGTGTTATTTTCAGTCAGAGCCACCAAGACAAGCTAGACTTAATTTTCCTAAGCTAGATTTCTTACCAATCACACTTAGTTTCACCCTTGTCATCACCAAGCAAACCTTTCAAACAGCAGGAAGAGTAGGTCAGAATGAAGATGCAATTTAAAGCACTTCCAGGAATATTGCACTTTTCCTTATTCTCTGCCATGACAGACCCCTTATCAGTGTGGACACTCAAGGCTTTTCCATTTATCTGGCACATCTACCAAGGAATTAACATCACCTGGTCATCTTTTTTTTACCCTAACTGCTTGAGACACAGGCCATACATCCCCTCTCTGGTGAAATGCAAAATCTCTCTAAAATCAAAGAGACAGGAGTAAAATAAAATCAGCTGCCCTAAGGCCCATAAATACCCTTTCCACAAGGAAAGAAAGGTAACTATCAAACCAGGAGATCATGCAGTCATTGTTAGTGCTTATTCTAAATGAGCTATTTCTTTGATGCTGTTTTGGGTTTGATTATGTTTATGTACTGGGAAGTAAGAGATTTGACACAGAAAATCTCTAGGGACACTTGCTTCTGAAAAAATAAGGAAAGAAGCAATAAGTTGTCCTTGTTTGGAGAGAGATATTTAAAGAGATGTCATTTTTAGACAGTGAAAGCAGGACTACTGCTGCTCATCAGAAACACTCGAGTGAAAAATGTTTTCTCCATGATTTTTGGTTTTAAGTCATCCATAAAGTCCTGAGCACAGAAAAGGCCTCACTGTGTCTGAAAAAAAATAATTTGAAACCTGTTTCCTGATTTTTGCAAGTGTAGTTCTGCGCTGTAGCTTTGAACCCTGTGGAATCAAGGCATTTTTTTAAGGAAAAGGAGAATTACAGAAGTCTCAGATGGTTCTACACAGCTTTCTGTTTTGCTCTGCTCTAATTCATGAAACTCCTACCTGGTCAGATGTTAGGTTCCTGAATCAGAACACTCTACCAATTCTCCTCTCCCATTTTTTTGCCTTCTGTGTTTCTGAGAGAAGGAGAGGACCATTGCTTGGCCATAAATTCAATTCAAATTGAAGTTTGGTAGATGTAGTTGAGCCCCAGAATGAGCTTAGACAGCTCTGCACATCTGCTGCTGCTCTTCTTTTTGCATTTCCTTTAAAAGTCCTGGACTATACAGATCATAAGGAAGACATGGGACATTCCAGAGGATGGTTCAAAAGAGCAAATGCATATAGACATCTGTGCAAAAGCCTATTAAAGGATATATGTTAATTTTTAATACGGATTGAATTGCTTATAATGAAAGAACAGGTACTTTTCCTGAGGTTTGAGGAAAGCAAGTGTTCTAATCTAATATGTAAGTAGGTTTGCAAGAAAAATTGAAACTTTTGCATGGTCTGGGGTTTTTTTTATTGTATACAATTGGTGACCTAAATTCTTGACTTGGTGCTTGCCAGCTGTCCCCTCTTCAGGGACTCCCTGTTCCTCCTTGCTTCCTGTGTAGGTTATTCTGTTTAGAATTCCCCATGCTATGCACTTGGACCTCATATCTTTACCACAATAACTCTGTTCACTTAAGAGAGCTGATTCCAAGCTTCCAGTTTGTTTCTACTTCAGTTAAAATCTTTTATTTTGACTAAGCCTCCCATATAACTCAAGATGATGAGGGAAGATGGGAGGTACTTTAGTTCTGCACTGGGTGTCAGAGACTATGCAGCAAACACATGAGGGATAACAGGATGCCATGGTCTGCAGCAGACAAAGCTAAGTGGATTATGTGCAGGTGAATAGATGTGCAATTGGTAGTCCCTAAGATGCTTCAGGGAAGCTGGCATGTCACCTTGCATCTTGCTTGACTTGCCAGGACTAAGGACATTTTGTTAGAAATCCAACACAAAAGACAGGCAGAGAAGCTGAACAAATTGTTTGCGTTTATAGAAAATAGAGCTAGAAATTGTATTGTAACAAATAGAATTCTGTGTGTCCAGAGAGTTGCCGTGGTATTAACAAACATTACCCATTTCTTCCTTATTTGTGTGGTTCCTTGTGATTTACCAGCAGTATGCCTCAAAGCTATTCTGTTATCACAGAGACATGATTTTAAAAAGTTTTCTTATCTAGCCTGCAACACACCATGTTTTGCATTCTTCAGAATATGTAGTACAGGTTGAGCTAGCCATACATGCAGTTCTTCCCTCATCACCTGCTTCAAATCCCACTTGTCTCTCCAAATGAATGTGTAAAAACCAACTACACAAATCACTGAACTCCCAATGCAGTGCATTCAGGCACTCATTTATTCTAAAGTGATGCTATCCAAGCGGAGGAATTGAAACATGCAGTGCTGTCCTCCACCAGATGTTGGGCTGGTTTAAATGCAAATAAACACCCAAAGGGAAAACAAGACAGTGGAATATAATATACTGCTGAGATATGGGCTAGAGTTGTGCATAACCCAACTTTCTTATAGTTTCAGATTATTTTTTTTAAAGTTTCTTAGCAAGGCAATTTCATTCTTACCCCCTTGTGGTGGTATGTCCTGCTGAGTGCAATATTCTTGCAATGTTCCTGTTTTCCTCTTCATTTGTTTATAAATATCCTCAGAGTAACAAGGATTGTATTTGCCTGCAGATTTTTCTTTTCCCTTCTGGAAATATTTATGCTCCCTGTGTAGAGCAGAGCAGCTCCTCATTGCCACTGAGTCTCCAGAGGACAGGACAGAGAGGTGAAGGGAGTGGGATTTCTGCTGTCTACCATCAGTCCTATCACTTAGGGTGGTAATTCAAATTTTTTCACACAATATCTCTTCTCAGATGCCTGCCAGAAACCCTACATAAGATTGATCTGTCTTAGGAGACTAAACCTTGGGCTGAAAATTGGATAACTAGCTGGAGACCCTTTACACGGGTGCATGGCCTTAGGAGACAGGGCGGGAGAAGCCAAAAGATGACATTTCTTCATGTCAGTTTTATTTCTTGCAGCAGAAGGCAAAGGATGGAATGAGAAGACAAATTTTTCCTTCGTAGCTCTTTGTCCCTACCTCAACTATATCATCCCTGCAATCATCCTTAAGTTTCATTAATGCCCTTTTGCCACTTCTGACATTTGTATGGTTTCTGATCCTCCTGTTCCTAATTGTGTATTCATATAAATTTTTATTCATCATTCCCTTCCTCCTCCTCATTCAGTCTGTTCCCAGAATGGCCTGTTAGACTCCACAACATGGTGTGGTTTGTTCTCTTGAAGAGTGGCTCTGTTGCACAGAACAATGGCTCGTGAAAATCATCCTGTCTGGATCAGGACAGCAGATAAGCACAGGGACTGAACTGTGAAACAGAGCAGGGCAAAATCACCCACTGCTACTTTGTAGTGAGGTTTTTGTAGATTTTTGATGGGGGGAGGATTATTCTGCACATTGCTTTATCAAAATATAGCTATAAACAAAACTCCTGATATATTTTTTTGCTAGTCTTGCCTTTATTTGTAGAAATTCATTGGTCTCTGGGTATAAATGTATGAATTTGCTGCTAATAACACAGAAAATATTGTAAATTAAAGCAATCATGTGGGTCTTGCAGAGCCACAGGGCCCCCTGCCTTGGGAGGTTTTCCAGGAAGTAAATTCAGGGTCTTGATTAATTGGGGTCTTAGAGTTGAGATGGAAAAGGGAAGCCTAACAGGCGAATACATGGGGATACAATTGGAAAAGAAAATGCAACCACATGAATCACTATCCCTTCTGGATGTTAAAGTATCTCTGCTTGGGTTTCAAAGGGTTTTTCAGGTGAATGTGTCTGATCTTTGGCTTCCCACTGTGATTTAACACACCTTGAAGATGAAGCCATTATTTTTACCAGATATTTTCACAAAGGAAGGTATTTTCTGAAAGAAAAAGAAATTACAGGGATAGTCTGTTTCTGGAATGATTTTGGTTGCTGTGAATTTTGCATAAATGTGAAAAGGGGTTAATTTTTGAAAAGAAAAAGAAGATTGCTGTCTATATACAATATATACATTGCTGTGTTCTTTCTTCCTGACCAAATGAAGGCTCAGCGGAGAATGCAGGTTAACAATGAAAAATTTCAACACTTGCCTCCCTCCAGTCATAACTAAAATAAATAATCTCTCTTCATATGTTGAAAAAAAAACCAAGTTTCATTGTTGTTTTATTGAATCTTGCCCTGTTAGAGCTGCCACAATGCATTCTCCTGCTGGGAAGTTACAGCATGCCTGTGCTCAGACCTCTGCTGGATGATGCCCAGTGCCAGGCAAGTCCTCAAAGGGGAATATTCTCTGTTTCCTACCAGAAAACATTGGCACAAAAGGGTTGGATAAGACACACTCAGTTTGGGCTCCATGAGCCATTCCCTGGCTCCTTGTTTTTTCACTTTAAACTCTCCCTAGTGAGATTTTAAGTCTTCTGTAGGGATTAGTCATCTGATGGAAAGGATTTCTTTGCAATTAAGGCTCAGACCCTCTAGAAGTTAAATGGATCATCAGAAATTTCAGTGGAATTTTTAAAATATGCTAAGCTGGCCCTATTTTAATTTGTTGGGGGAGGTTGGTGTTTTTTGGGGATTTTTTAGGGGGTTTTTTGTGTGTGTTGTTTTGTTTTGTTGGGTTTTCTTGGGGGGATGGGGGTTTTTTGTGGGTTTTTTTGTCTGTTTGGCTGGTTTGATTTAGGTTTTTTTTAAAGTAGGGAAGTGGTTTATTTACTGACTCTTGAAATCTTCTGCAAACACCTTACTGCAGAGTGGACTTTCCTATTTCTTCCTCCATGGCATAGATGTTGCAGTTATTCAGCACGTTAACAGAGGGCGTGTTCAGATACACAAAGAAAAATAAAAGGATTAAGAGAAGGACAGAATAATTCATGGTCTCACCCCAGAAAACAGCCTCAGAAGCAGCTTGCCATGGGGTGACTGCCACGGACTCTGAGCCTATGTTGTACATATTTCAGATCCATCAATATTTTCCTTTGCAGAGGCACCAGCGTGGGAGTACTGAATGAAAGAGGAAATAAACAGGCTGTGTTAGTTTGTCTGGTTTCCTGGAAAGTGCTAAATTGCTCAAATGCTGCTGGGCCTGTGCTGAGCACACGGCTCTGGGGAAGAAGCTCAGCTTTCTCTCTGAGGGACTGTGTTTCTGTGGGTATGAGGCACCCATTTTATAAATATAGCATAAAAACTTTAGCTCCTGCAAGCTAGGTGCTCCACAACATTTAGGCATTTTGGGGTTTTTTTTTTACTGTGTCTATAATTTCTTTATTTGAAATTAATTATAGTGTACTTCTTGGTTCTTCTGGTTTTGTGTCTGTAAGGTACAATGACCCTTTTTTTTTTTTTCCAGAGGTTTTCCAAAAGCATGGTAATTATTAATTCTATACTTTGTAAAAGAGGGAATCAGATATAAATCACATGAATCCTGGAGGTGAGGTTTTATGAAAATCATTGAGTTACTCTGAGATTCAGAGCTTTGACAGGTCTACTCTCTACAAACTTGCCAGTAAATTTAAGGCCAGGTCTAAGGCCAGCAAACTGAACAAGTGCCTTAAGCAGGAACCCACAGAGAATTATGAAGGAGCTATCACCCATTCAGACAACATCAGTGCTGCAGAAATCTGGGCTGACAGCTGGTGCTGGGCATGTGGCAGCTCTGGGAAAGGCCAGCACTTGCCCATGGGTGAAGCAGCTCCCAATTAAACTGGAACAAGGGTCAGCTATTGGGTGCTTGTCCAAACCCCTTGGACTCGTGTGAGCAAGAACGTCTCCTCAGAAAGGTCTTCTCTTGGCTCTGCTTCTGCTGCTCATCAAAAACAAACATCTCTTACTTTGTTACTTTCTCCCTCCTAATTTAAAGTTCACTTCCATATATGTAGACTTACAACAACAGATAGATTGAAGGTGTGTGGAACAAAAAGGTGTTCTGTTTTCCTCTTGTAAATCCTGAAAGGAAAATGGAAAAGATAATATATCTGTAAAGGAGAGAAGTGGTAGTGGGTGTATTTCTGTCAGTAGTAAGCTGCATTGGAGGCTAAATTTGTTTCTGTGGGAAATTTCTCAGTGCCTTTCTCTGGGGTGGTACACAAGACGAGTGACAGGCTGTGAAACACATGGTACTGTTTGCTTTCATTAAGGTTTATTTCCCATTACACCTTGTTTGAGAACAACTTGCTAATTCAAAATGGCATGGGCAGACCTGTAGAATGTTTCCTCATGTGTCTAAAATAAGTCTTGGGGTTATTTTTGCTTGGTCTTCCTCGGAAATCTTAGACTTTTTAAACAGAGATTTCTAAGCCATTGGAATCTATATAAACTGTAATAATTCCATTATTATGCTCTGTGAGCATCTGTGAGTCCTGTAGCTACTCCGCTGGCTATTCCTTGCCTTCCTCCCAGTTGCTCTGAGCTGCACAGACAAGGCACATCAGTCAAACCATGCTCTTAAGATGAATTACTTCCAGCCACATGGCAAAAGTAAGACAGTTCAATAGTAACCAAGCCTCCCTGCTAGGGCACAGAGGACAAAACTGGAACCTTTCTGTCTCTGTGTTTACAGGTCTGCATTTTCTCTTTCAGTTTGGCCCCAGCCCTGCTGTCAGCTGAACTGGCTGTGGGTCCTGGCTCACCCTGCCTGGTGTGTGGATCCTCCCAGGTGATAACAGGCTGTCACAGAGGTGAAGGCAGCACACCCTGGGCACAGATCCCTTGATTCTGCTGAAAAGGAGGATCTATAATCAGCAGAAATCAAAACAGTTTTGATGAAAAAATGCTGAGTTTATGTCAGAAAACTAAATGTTTAATATTCAGGATTTCCATCCAATTTAAAATGGAAATGTGTGTTTAATCAGGAAAATGGTTGGGGAAAAGTTCTCAGTCATCTGTATTTAAGTCTCCTTGATGACAGGTTTCTGTGCTGAAGAACTTGTCTCAAAATCAAGTTGTGCTGGAATAGCTTACTCAGGATCAGCCACTTGTTTCTGGATAGCACCATGTGTAAATATTCTTACTCTGTAAGAGCCTTTTACACATCTGCACAGATCTTGTGCTAACAATTCATGCTGCAGGACAGGAAAAGAGGGGCCTCTGATGTGATTTTCTCAGGAGTTTCCCCCATGACCAGCAGGAGTGTGGGCTGCAAAATGAACTCTTTAAATGATGAGGTATTAAAGCAAAAAAGGGACAACTGAAAGTACAGGGAAAGCTTTTTCTTCTTCTTCATGTGAGACAACAAAGTTGGTCTCTGCTCCTTTGCTACATATTGATAAGACAAAGATTTAGAGAGCACTTAGGCCCCTTAACTCTTTTCTGGAGGAGCTCCCTTGCTGCAGAAATCTGTCTTGGGTATCTCTCTTCAGATAACTCACTCTCTGCTTTCATCTTCTCCCTTTCTCATGGTTTCTCCCATTTCTGAAAGCAATTGCTCTAGCCCTGGAAGTGTAAGGGAGGGCAGCCCAAGGAGGCTCCTGCTGTGACAGAAAAGGGGAGGGTGCTCCCAGGCAGCACAGGAACATTCCTTTCTGTATCATGTATTCCTTTCTGTATAATCTACACTCCTTTTCACCCTGTGTGAAACCTAGTGGCATCATCCACTCCATGAAGTGCCAAGCACTGTCCAGGAGCAGGTCAGTCCCCCTGATGGCCAACATTACCCACTGCTACCTCCCCAGAGCATCCCTGCAAAGAGTCAGGGGCCATCTGCTCCAAAATCTGTCACCTCAGTGCTGGGGAGGAACGGGGTCCCAGCTGCTTCAAGTGTTCTCCAGATGTGTCCAGAACCACCCCTCCAGTGACACCCAGACATGCAGCAAGATGGGCTTCAGGGCACGTTCTCTCAGTGCTCCAGAAAAGCAAAAGGAGGTTTTCTCTCTGCATCCAATCCCCTGCTCCACCACTTAAATCCTCCACAATATCACCTGGGTAGAGAGCTCAGTTTTCTTACAAACATCACTTGAAAAAGAAACCTTCTGCATTATGTCTTTGCCTTCATTAGGTGTTGGTCACAGCATCCTGCTGTTTTCACTTGCAAACCTATCACCTGCCCTTCAAACTTGTCCCTCTCCCTCCCAAACAGGCCTGTGTTAATCAGGAAAGAAAATATTCACATATACTTTCTTTTAGCTTAATTCCTAATAACATTTTCTGCTCTGATTTTATTTTGTTCATCTCTTTTTTACATTTAATTTGGCATCTAACCAATCAAAATTATGTTCTATTTATGCTTTTTAGCAAATGGGTTTGGCTTCAAATTCTTAACATTTAATTCTTAATATTCATGGCTATTTGTTCTCATATTTAGCACATCTCCACCTTGCCTGCCTTGTAACTTCCAAATGAGAATATTGTGTGGAGGCTTATTAGATCTGGGGCTCTTTTATTTCTTTTAATTCAAATGAGAAACACATTTTTAATACTAAATTTTTCATATATCTGAACCAGGATGCATTGTGGCTAATATACTGAGGAGAAAATTTCCTCTTCTTGATGATCTCAGGGTGTGTGGAAGGGGTGTATGTGTGTCCACGTTTTCCTCTCTATTTGTTTCTGTGCCTGTTGGTTGCTTTTCAAGATCTTCCACTTTGAATATGAACCCAATATTGGCACAGGAACACCTGCCCAGTCTCCTTCTCTAACTAAATGATCTAATGTCCAACAAAAGAAGGTACAGCTGACCAAGGCCCAATACATTGAAGAAATTTAAAAAAAAAATAAATAAATAAAATAAGAGCGTTGAGCAAAAATTGGTCAGTGAAATGGCCTGTCCTGGAACTAGACAGACATGAAGATCCTGTCTGGCAGCAGATTGTATGCATGGTGGAAATCCAGCACCCTGATAATGTGAAACATGCTCTTCTGTAGAAGTGGCTTCATTAACCCCTGGAACAAGCAAGAAAGCAACCCACAAGCAAGCTCAGGCCTAAAATGCCAGAACTGAAGCTGCCTCCTTTTCTCATCTTTGAAAACATCTCATTCTAATATTCCCCCTTGACACAGAGAGCTGCTACAACTCTATGACAAGAACGATTTTGTAAAACCTGGAGGGAAATTGAAAATACCAGACAGAGATACTTCCTGAAATTTTCTGTAAAAGGTTGTCCTGGTTTCCTACACAGACAGCATGACTTGTGTACATGCAGTGATGTAAAAATATCTTTGCTGTCCTCTGGGGTAATATCAGAGCTGGACAGTGCTTGTTAATCACAATCCTTAGATAATGTCATGCTTTCATTTGGTGCAACATAAAATTTAATATCTTAAAATCCC